CCTTTTGGTTAGCAGCCAGACTCTTAGCCACTGTGCCACCAGGGCTCCATTAGAATGACAATGATCAAAAAACCAGGAAACATTAGGTGTTGGTGAGGTGGTGGAGCAACTGGAGACCTCATCCATTGCTGGTGGGGATGTAAAATGATGTAGCCACTGTGAAAAAGTTTGTCAATTTCTTAAAAAGTTGAACATAGAATTACCATATGACCCAACAATCCCAATCCTAGGCATATACCTAGAAGAAGTGAAGGCAGGAACACAAACAGAAACCTGTACCGTAATGTTCATTGCAGCGCTTTTCACAATAGCCAAAATGTGTAAGCAACTGAAATGTCCATCAACAGATGAATGGATAAACAAAATGTGGTATATACATATAATGGAATATTATGCAGCTGTCAAGAGAAGTAAATTTCTGATGCATGCCACAACATGGATGAAACTTGAAAACGTGCTGAGTGAAATAAGTTAGTCACAAATGGGCAAATACTGTATAATCTCATTCATCTGAATAAGCAAATATATAGAAACCAAGGATTATTAATGGTTACCAGGGATGGGAGGGAGAGAGAAAGGGAGAGTTTGTGTTTGGGGGTATTAAGTTTATGTGAAGGTGTTGGGATATTTTGGAAAAGGATAGCAATAATGGTGACACAACGTGATAAACGTAATCAACGTCATTGAATTGTAAATGTGAACGTTGTTGTATTGGCAGATGTTTTGGTGCGTATACTTTCACTACAATAAAAAATATTTTAAAAGTTTGGTCAGAGCTTATAATCAGCATTGATATTAATTTCATTTTATTTATAAGCTTTCAAAATCCATGATGCACTAGATACTGACATTTGGATATAAAGTAATAAACTAGTTTATCCCACCTTTATGACAACATTCCCTCTGCTGCATTCACTGTTTGGACTACAAGTTCTTTCTTGCCTGAACTCTGATAGACCTCACCCAAGTCGAATAAAGAATTTAATCCCTGGATAACAGCAACCCCAAACTTTGAGTTTTTATAACACACCGTATGAATGTGTTCTTTTAATATCAAAAGATAAAGAAAGAAGTGGGTGATGTGACCATCGTGGTGAATAATGCTGGGGCAGTATATCCAGCCGATCTTCTTAGTACCAAGGATGAGGAGATTACCAAAACGTTTGAGGTCAACATCCTAGGACATTTTTGGGTGAGTATGAATCAGAAAAATCCCTGGTTTGTGCACGGCTAGACACCTCCATTTAAGGAACATAAAGTTCATGATTGAGTTTACATCCTTCTGGGTAGGAGACCGGCCAGAAGATCTTCGCCTTAAGAATAATCAAATTAGAGTGGTAGAGCCACAGCAGCTCTGGCGAAGCCCCTCAGGATGTAAGTTACTTGGTCTGTCTCATCCTCCGGTATCTCATACAGAGCCTGGCACAGACCAGGTACTCCGCAAATATTTGTGGAATAGCGGAAGTAACAGATAGAAATCAAAAACCCTACATATTAAAATAGCATAATCTAGGGAAGTCTGGGGACTTCCAAATTATGCTAAGTAAAATGTCATTCAAAATATCCCAAATTTAATAGAGCTTATCAGAGGAGGGCATGTGATTATGAAGGACTTTCACTTACTAAGACACATATTTCTGTAGTAGTTGAAGTTTTTATAAAAAGCATTATAACTTTGTAAAAAAAAATTGTACTTTTTTGAGAACCAGAAGCAGCTAGAAATTAGAATAGCAATAAAGAAGTTAAAGAGGCAGCTCTGAGTCAGACTCCATATCAGTTGCCATTGAGTTGATTCCGACTCAGAAACCCTATAGGAGAGAGTAGAACTGCCTCATAGGGTTCCCAAGGCTGTAATCTTTATGGAAGCAGATTGCCACATCTTTCTCCTGCTGACCTTTTGATTAGCAGCCAAGCACTTAACAACTCTAACCCCAGGGCCCTTTCTGAGTCAGACTGCCTGGGTTCGTGTCTTAACTCTGCCAATAATGGCATGAATAACTTACTTAACTTCTTTGAGTCTCAGTTTTCTTACGTGAAATACACATAATAGCGTTAACTCCACAAGGCTGTTGGGCAAAGTCAAGGGGTTAATACATACAAGCACTTAGAACAGTCATCAATAAATATTAGCTAGTATTATTTCATTGCAATCCCATATGTGTGGAGTAGAACTGCTCCATGGGGTTTTCAAGGCTGTGAT